ACAACAGAATCAAAGAAAAGAGTACTTAACTGTTACGTGATATCAGTCCTTCTATATGGCAGTGAATGCTGGACAATCTCATCACAGATGAAGAAGAGACTTGAAGCAACAGAAACAAAGAAAAGAATACTGAACTGTTACGTGATATCAGTCCTTCTATATGGCAGTGAATGCTGAACAATCTCATCACAGATGAAGAAGAGACTTGATGCAACATAAACTAAGAAAAGAATACTGATCTGTCACGTAATATCAGTCCTCCTATATGGCAGTGAATGCTGGACAATCTCCTTAAAGATGAAGAAGCGACTTGAAGCAGATGAAACAAAGAACGTAGTCCTGAACTGTTACGTAATATCCCTCCTGCTGTATGGCAGATGAAGAGATTGAAGCAACAGAAATAAAGAAAAGAGTATTCTATATGCCAGTGAATGCTGGACAATTTCCTTTTAGATGAAGAAAAGAATTGAAGCAACAAAAACAAAGAAAATATTTATGAACTGTTGCGTAATATCAGTCCTCCTATATGGCAGTGAATGCTGGCAATCTCATCACAGATGAAGAAGAGACTTGAAGCAACAGAATCAAAGAAAAGAGTACTTAACTGTTACGTGATATCAGTCCTTCTATATGGCAGTGAATGCTGGACAATCTCATCACAGATGAAGAGATTTGAAGCAACAGAAACAAAGAAAAGAGTACTTAACTGTTACGTGATATCAGTCCTTCTATATGGCAGTGAATGCTGGACAATCTCATCACAGATGAAGAAGAGACTTGAAGCAACAGAATCAAAGAAAAGAGTACTTAACTGTTACGTGATATCAGTCCTTCTATATGGCAGTGAATGCTGGACAATCTCATCACAGATGAAGAAGAGACTTGAAGCAACAGAATCAAAGAAAAGAGTACTTAACTGTTACGTGATATCAGTCCTTCTATATGGCAGTGAATGGTGGACAATCTCATCACAGATGAAGAAGAGATTTGAAGCAACAGAATCAAAGAAAAGAGTACTTAACTGTTACGTGATATCAGTACTTCTATATGGCAGTGAATGCTGGACAATCTCATCACAGATGAAGAAGAGACTTGAAGCAACAGAATCAAAGAAAAGAGTACTTAACTGTTACGTGATATCAGTACTTCTATATGGCAGTGAATGCTGGACAATCTCATCACAGTTGAAGAAGAGACTTGAAGCAACAGAATCAAAGAAAAGTGTACTTAACTGTTACGTGATATCAGTACTTCTATATGGCAGTGAATGCTGGACAATCTCATCACAGATGAAGAAGAGACTTGAAGCAACAGAATCAAAGAAAAGAGTACTTAACTGTTACGTGATATCAGTCCTTATATGGCAGTATATGGACAATCTCATCACAGATGAAGAAGAGACTTGAAGCAACAGAAACAAAGAAAAGAATGAATGTCCTGGCACAATCTCATCACAGATGAAGAAGAGACTAAACTAAGAAAAGAATACAACAGAAACAAAGAAAAGAATACTGAACTGTTACGTGATATCAGTCCTTCTATATGCCAGTGAATGCTGGACAATTTCCTTTTAGATGAAGAAAAGAATTGAAGCAACAAAAACAAAGAAAATATTTATGAACTGTTGCGTAATATCAGTCCTCCTATATGGCAGTGAATGCTTGACAATCTCCTCAAAGATGAAGAAGCGACTTGAAGCGACATAAATGTGTTTCTACAGATGGATGCTGGCCATAGCATGGACCTAACAAGTAAGCAACGAAAAAGTTTTAGAGAAAATAAAAATGGAACATACTTAATATCAGGAAGAGACTGTTGATAATTCTAAAGCGCATAATGAGGAAAGTGGGCTTGGAAAATCTAATACTCACGGGGCAGATTGAAGGCAAACGGATTTATATAGAGAAATTGAGTAAATGGATGGAGGCAGAAGGTTTAGGTAAAATAGCAAAAAGAAAAATATATTAAGAGCTACAAAGGGCAGGAAGTTGTGGAAAGTCATGATCGCCTAGAGCCTGATGGGACATTGTTTATAGAGAAGAAGAATTGCACATAGGAAATAACTTTTTTTTTCTTTACAGACTGGATGATTGTTAGCAAAAGGGACAGCCAAACATGTGAATTACAAAGTGGGGATACCAAAAGCAAGCAGGTACAAAAATTTAAATATCCAAGAAGTGTTTTAACAGAAGACGGGAAGTGTGACACCGAAATCCGAAGTCACATTGTGATAGAGAAAAATATTTTCCTCATTTTGTTATTTCCATTGTATTCTCAATATTTATCGGGAAATCTACATCTTGATCCTTTCAAAGATTTTCTTCATTTCTAACGAAAATGTCCAGCATTGATTGGCATCATGGTATTATCAATTACCATGATGTTTAGTGAGAACTGAAAAACAGTGTCTAATTCTATCGAGAGAAAATTATAGAATACGTTCTCGTACAAACTATTTTAACAACCAATTTTCAATTTAAGCACAACTTGTATTTTCAAGCCCCTCCAATTCCAGACATTATCAACGATCATTTTACGTAGAATTCTCACCAACCCAATGACACCTCTAACAGACCGTAAAAACCAGAAACTTCTGAAGACTATTCTTGTTTTCTTTTCTTTTTTTTTTTTTTTAAAGAAAAGGAGTAACTACCTTTTCAAAATTAAGCTCATTCATAGCTGCTTTAAATAATGTCTTCTCGGCGATATTGTCCTTCGACACAAAGAACTATTTATCTATTCATTTGAATATTTACCCAGTTATTCTATGACACAGGGAAATATCGAGAATAGCTGCGTAGTTTTGTGTAATAGTTTTTTAAAAATATTATTTTTGTTTCTTTCTGTGCCGATGCATTCGTCGTTGGTTTATTTTTAGCTGCGTCACGTTCATTATTTTTGCTTGAGTGGAAAAGTCACTAAAAGTGTTGCAAAACAAAGATTCTCTGTTGCATATACATTGTCTATACCTACCTCTCAGCCTGTTCATATCTATCTATCTATCTATCTATCTATCTATCTATCTATCTATCTATCTCAGTTTGTTCATATCTGTCTATCTCAGTCTGTACATTATCTATCTATCTATCTATCTATCTATCTATCTATCTATCCCAGTTCGTTCATATCCGTCTATCTCAGTTTGTACATTATCTATCTATCTATCTATCTATCTATCTATCTATCTATCTATCTATCTATCTATCTATCCATCCTAGTCTGTTCATATCTATCTATCTATCTATCTATCTATCTATCTATCTATCTATCTATCTATCTATCCTAGTTTGTTCATATCTGTCTATCTCAGTCTATACATTATCTATCTATCTATCTATCTATCTATCTATCTATCTATCTATCTAGTTTGGTATTTATACTGATGACACTACTATTTACTCCTGTTTCGATGAGTATGTTGATCAGATCGATAAGGTCACAAAATCTGATCCAAAAAATGACCTACAGTTTCTTACACATCCAGTAACAACTTGTGTTTTTGTGGCTTTAATGCCTTGTTTGGGGTGACTTTGCTTAAAAAGTCTATCTATCAATAAAATTTTCTATGTCTGTCTATCTATCTATCTATCTATCTATCTATAGACAGATATATATATATATATATATATATATATATATATATATATATATATATATATATATATATATATATATATATATAAAAATAGAGAAAAACCTGTATACATAGAAAATAGACAGTCATAGAAAATCTTACAAATAAATAGAACAGTTTCTCATCGCCCTAACGTAACTTCTCTTTGGCTTTTCTGTAAATATTTTCATGGTAATTGTTCTGATGAAGTCTTTGTTACCTAGACTTTCCAAATTTAAACACAATACTTGTTTGGCAGCTCGGTCTTCTTTCATTGTTGAAATTATTAGATATAATCATATGATTTGTGCTAACAGTTTCTGTTCTCGCACTTCTCGGTTGTTGAATTTTTTTCTCGATTCAGGGTGGGTAAATTGATGACATTTTATATTTTTAATTTCGCATGAGCGTTTTTTTTTAATTTTGTTAATTGCAGAAAAGGAGAAAACCATGAGACTGTGAGAAAAAGAGCACCATGACACCATTCACTCCTCTAAAAATATGGAAAAGGCATGCTGTACTGCTTGGCGTTCGCACCGGAAGCTTCAATCCAAACATTTCAGAATGTTTGTGCAGAAGATTCAGAAAGAGTTGGGTGAGTCTAATGGTGATTACGAAGTTACGACAGCGCGGAAAACTCACTCTGATCGTTCTGATAAAAAAAGAACTCCCGAATTTGATGGTAAAGGCATCAGACTCGAAACAGATGCGTACATCAAGTACCTTGAGGAGGTAGTGTTGCCCAGGATCAAGAGGATAGCTGCTAGAAGACCCTATGCACCATGACACATAAACTGGAGAACCCAGTCATAGCATTCAGACAGTTTCTGTGACAACATCACTCCTTACATCTGATCACTTAACTTCCCAGACTGCAACCTCCTTGACTATCAGGTTTGGAGCGCAGTTGAGCGAGAGACCTTGGCAAACTACCTTGTAACACCAAAAAGGAAATAACGATTATTACAGCATTCACCAATTCAAACAAGGAGACAGTCCAGAAGAATTGCAGGAGATTCCAAAATCGCCAATGGCGATTACATTGAATAAATTTACTTTTTAGTATTTCAAGATATTTTTGTGTAATTTTGGTAAATTTTTGGTAATTTTTTGATGTCAGTGTTATTTTCATTTTTGCGTAGTTTAGATGACTATTTATCCATCGTACCCTTTAGTAAACGGAACAATCCAACATGAAAATTACGAATTGGGGACTTAAATACCTGGGAAGTGCTTTAACAGAGGACGGAAACGCGACACCGAAATCCGATGATTACCAAAAGCTAAGTAAAGTATTACGAAACAGGAAAATTTCGTTAGAAACCCTCTACCTCGAGTACCTTAGGCTTTGTACAGGTTGAACATCAACTGCTTTCTGAGGTAGGAAATGGGACCTGCAATATTCACTGCGGTGATTTTGGTTATTGTCCCCGTTTTGCAAGTGGGTCACCATTATCGTGTATGTGTGTATCGAATTCTGATCACTTTTTTGTATCGATTTCAAGCTCTTTACATATCTCTGTCCCTATATATGTAGCTATCTGTCAAGATAACAATACAATAATTACTCAAAGAATTCTTTGTTTCTAATTGCGATAATCCTTTTCCAACCACGCAATTCAAATGATTCGTGTCTAATTATCCAATGATTCGATGACGTGACATCTCGCAACCACAACAGTGTCTTCACGCGTTAAACAGACAACCGTTTCTTTTGGTCTGTCTTGCCTAATAGCAAAACACAATGCCAACAGAAAGGAATTTTTGAAAATTCAATTTTTTTTTGTTGAATAATTCTTATCTTGAATGAGTGAAATGAATGTTGACGAATTCTGCTGAATTAAAACGAATGCTTTACAGAATTTTATAAGAATTTTTAGAATTTTTACGAGGTATTATATGCTACTTTTAGTGGACATCTGCTTTGCTTGTCGACAAGAGTGTGCTCCACCATTATGTAATATCAATCCTTTTATAGGGGAGTGAATTATCTCATCGATGAAGAGAAGGCTTGAGGCAATAGAGACATGAATCTACAGAATGATGCTGAGAATGCCATGGACAGAACATGTGAAAAACAAGAAAGTTATAAAGAAACTGGAAATAAAAAAAAACTCCAAAACGCCTATACATGGAATCAGAAAGAGACATTTGAAATTTCTGGCAGTCAGAGTAAATAGGTTTACCTATATCCCGGTTTAAAATCATTCACTGTCTTTTGACAGGGGTAGAGGTTTATCCATTGTTTCCTGTTTAGGGTTGGGTTTGCGGTTCCTTCTCCTAAAGTCTTCTTATTCTCTTTCACTCCCACTTGTCTTCTCATTCTCTTTCACTCCCACTTGTCTTCTCATTCTCTTTCACTCCCACTTGTCTTCTTATTCTCTTTCACTCCCACTTGTCTTCTCATTCTCTTTCACTTTCTACTTGTCTTCTTCTTCTCTTCACCTTCCACTTGTCTTCTGATTCTCTTTCACTCCCACTTGTCTTCTTATTCTCTTTCCTCCCCCACTTGTCTTCTGATTCTCTTTCACTCCCACTTGTCTTCTGATTCTCTTTCACTCCCACTTGTCTTCTCATTCTCTTTCACTCCCACTTGTCTTCTTATTCTTTTTCACTTCTACTTGTCTTCTTATTCTCTTTCACTTCCACTTGTCTTCTCATTCTCTTTCACTCCCACTTGTCTTCTCATTCTCTTTCACTCCCACTTGTCTTCTCATTCTCTTTCACTCCCACTTGTCTTCTCATTCTCTTTCACTCCCACTTGTCTTCTTATTCTCTTTCACTTCTACTTGTCTTCTCATTCTCTTTCACTCCCACTTGTCTTCTCATTCTCTTTCACTCCCACTTGTCTTCTCATTCTCTTTCACTCCCACTTGTCTTCTCATTCTCTTTCACTTCTACTTGTCTTCTTATTCTCTTTCACTCCCACTTGTCATCTCATTCTCTTTCACTCCCACTTGTCATCTCATTCTCTTTCACTCCCACTTGTCTTCTCATTCTCTTTCACTCCCACTTGTCTTCTGATTCTCTTTCCTTCCCACTTGTCTTCTCATTCTCTTTCTCCCACTTTCTCCCTTGTCTTCTCATTCTCTTTCACTCCCACTTGTCTTCTCATTCTCTTTCCTACTTGCTTCTTGTCTTCTTATTCTCTTTCCTCCCACTTGTCTTCTCATTCTCTTTCCTCCCACTTGTCTTCTTATTCTCTTTCCCCACTTGTCTTCTCATTCTCTTTCACTCCCACTTGTCTTCTCATTCTCTTTCACTCCCCACTTGTCTTCTCATTCTCTTTCCTTTTGTCTTCTCATTCTCTTTCACTTCCACTTGTCTTCTCATTCTCTTTCCTCCCACTTGTCTTCTCATTCTCTTTCCTCCACTTGTCTTCTCATTCTCTTTCACTCCCACTTGTCTTCTTATTCTCTTTCACTCCCACTTGTCTTCTCATTCTCTTTCACTCCCACTTGTCTTCTCATTCTCTTTCACTCCCACTTGTCTTCTTATTCTCTTTCCTCCCCTTGTCTTCTCATTCTCTTTCAGTCCCACTTGTCTTCTCATTCTCTTTCCCACTTGTCTTCTTATTCTCTTTCACTTGTCTTCTTATTCTCTTTCACTCCCACTTGTCTTCTCATTCTCTTTCACTCCCACTTGTCTTCTCATTCTCTTTCACTTCTACTTGTCTTCTCATTCTCTTTCACTCCCACTTGTCTTCTTATTCTCTTTCACTCCCACTTGTCTTCTTATTCTCTTTCACTCCCACTTGTCTTCTTATTCTCTTTCCCCTTGTCTTGTCTTCTTATTCTCTTTCACTTCTACTTGTCTTCTCATTCTCTTTCACTCCCACTTGTCTTCTTATTCTCTTTCACTCCCACTTGTCTTCTTATTCTCTTTCACTCCCACTTGTCTTCTTATTCTCTTTCACTCCCACTTGTCTTCTCATTCTCTTTCACTCCCACTTGTCTTCTCATTCTCTTTCACTCCCACTTGTCTTCTCATTCTCTTTCACTCCCACTTGTCTTCTTATTCTCTTTCACTCCCACTTGTCTTCTCATTCTCTTTCCTCCCCACTTGTCCCCCTTTCCCACTTGTCTTCTCATTCTCTTTCCTCCCACTTGTCTTCTCATTCTTCACTTTCCTCCCACTAGTCTTCTTATTCTCTTTCCTCCCTTGTCTTGTTCCTCATTCTCTTTCCTCCCCCACTTGTCTTCTCATTCTCTTTCCCCACTTGTCTTCTTATTCTCTTTTCCCACTCCCACTTGTCTTCTCATTCTCTTTCCACTCTTCACTTGTCTTCTCATTCTCTTTCCTCCCACTTGTCTTCTCATTCTCTTTCACTCCCCTTGTCTTCTCATTCTCTTTCCATCCCACTTGTCTTCTCATTCTCTTTCAATCCCACTTGTCTTCTCATTCTCTTTCCTCCCTTGTCTTCTCAATCTCTTTCAATCCACTTGTCTTCTCATTCTCCCAATTTCTTCTCATTCTCTTTCCTTTCTTCTCATTCTCTTTCCTCCCACTTGTCTTCTCATTCTCTTTCAATCCCACTTGTCTTCTCATTCTCTTTCCTCCCACTTGTCCTCATTCTCTTTGTCTTCTCCCACTTGTCTTCTTATTCTCTTTCACTCCCACTTGTCTTCTCATTCTCTTTCACTCCCACTTGTCTTCTCATTCTCTTTCACTCCCACTTGTCTTCTCATTCTCTTTCACTCCCACTTGTCTTCTCATTCTCTTTCACTTCCACTTGTCTTCTCATTCTCTTTCACTCCCACTTGTCTTCTCATTCTCTTTCACTCCCACTTGTCTTCTTATTCTCTTTCACTCCCACTTGTCTTCTCATTCTCTTTCCCTCCCCACTTGTCTTCTCATTCTCTTTCCTCCCACTTGTCTTCTCTTTCTCTTTCTTCTCACTTTTCCCACTTGTCTTCTCATTTCCTCCCCCTCTTGTCTTCTTATTCTCTTTCTCCCACTTGTCTTCTCATTCTCTTTCACTCCCACTTGTCTTCTCATTCTCTTTCACTCCCACTTGTCTTCTTATTCTCTTTTCACTCCTCATTCTCTTTCTTCTCTTTGTCTTCTCATTCTCTTTTCACTTGTCTTCACTTCTCTTTCTCTCATTCTCTTCTCATTCTCCCTCCCTTGTCTTCTTATTCTTTTCACTCCCTTGTCTTCTCATTCTCTTTCACTCCCACTTGTCTTCTCATTCTCTTTCCTCCCACTTGTCTTCTCATTCTCTTTCTCTTTCATTCTCCCTCTTTCCCCCTTGTCTTCTCATTCTCTTTCAATCCCACTTGTCTTCTCATTCTCTTTCACTCCCATTCTTTTCTTCTCATTCTCTTTCCTCCCACTTGTCTTCTCATTCTCTTTCACTCCCCTTATTCTCTTGTCTTCTCATTCTCTTTCAATCCCACTTGTCTTCTCATTCTCTTTCCTCCCACTTGTCTTCTCATTCTCTTTCAATCCCTCCCACTTGTCTTCTCATTCTTCTCATTTCTTTCACTCCCACTTGTCTTCTCATTCTCTTTCACTCCCACTTGTCTTCTCATTCTCTTTCACTCCCTTGTCTTCTCATTCTCTTCCTCCATTCTTGTCTTTCATTCTCTTTTCCCCCTTGTCTTCTCATTCTTTCCTCCCACTTGTCTTCTCATTCTCTTTCCTCCCATTCTTGTCTTCTTATTCTCTTTCACTCCCACTTGTCTTCTCTCTTTCATCCTTGTCTTCTCCGTTGTCTTCTCATTCTCTTTTCACTCCCACTTGTCTTCTTATTCTTTTCACTCCCACTTGTCTTCTCATTCTCTTTTTCCTTGTCCACTTGTCTTCTTATTTTCTTTTCTTCTCACTTGTCTTCTCATTCTCTTTCACTCCCACTTGTCTTCTTTCTCTTTCCTCCCACTTGTCTTCTCATTCTCTTTCCTCCCACTTGTCTTCTCATTCTCTTCTCATTCTTTCCCCCACTTGTCTTCTCAATCTCTTTCAATCCCACTTGTCTTCTCATTCTCTTTCACTCCCACTTGTCTTCTCATTCTCTTTCACTCCCACTTGTCTTCTCATTCTCTTTCACTCCCACTTGTCTTCTCATTCTCTTTCACTCCCACTTGTCTTCTCATTCTCTTTCACTCCCACTTGTCTTCTCATTCTCTTTCCTCCCACTTTCTCTTCTCACTTGTCTTCTCATTCTCTTTCCTTCTTCTCATTCTCTTTCACTCCACTTGTCTTCTCATTCTCTTTCACTCCCACTTGTCTTCTCATTCTCTTTCATCATTCTTTTTCTTATTCTCCCCACCCATTTGTCTTCTCATTCTCTTTCACTCCCACTTGTCTTCTCATTCTCTTTCACTGCCACTTGTCTTCTTATTCTCTTTCACTCCCACTGGTCTTCTCATTCTCTTTTACTCCCACTTGTCTTCTTATTCTCTTTCACTCCCACTTGTCTTCTCATTCTCTTTCACTCTCTTGTGCTTTAGAGCTATTATCGTCTTGGTTGAAGTGAAATGATTAAAAAAAATACAAAAGTAAGGAAAAAGATCTTTGAGGATTTCACACTTACAATCCATATTGACGGCAAGTGGGACAGATGGAAAAAATAGTGCCCTACCCTGGCAGAATAAGACGTGTGGGAGATAGTAAAAAGATACACAGAGCTCTGAATGATGGGAAGTCGTAAAGCGTCATAACTGCCAACGTCTTGAAAGAACGCTGTACATAAACTATGAAGCATTCCCAAACATTTCTATTAGTTTCTTGTCATCCAAATTTAATTTATTATTATTCGATTTGCACCAAACCGTATAATATCTATACAAGTAACATATATTACTGAACAGAGGGAATATTTTCGAAATTGCGTATGTCTTCATGGAGATTCTATGATATATATAACTAGGTTATATGCATTTAAGCAAGCTCCTGCAGGGGTTCTTGATTGGGTCTTCATTACAATAAATAGATAGTGAGAAGCAGATGCGATAGGCAACAATAAACTACAGGAGAACTCAAAATTGATCGTAGCATTTAAATATTGAATTAATATTTAAGCTTACCTTTTAAAAGTTCAACGATAATTCTTCTACTGCCACTTAATTTAAAGACAGTTTGATGTACGTAGGTCCTTACTTTCCGTACAAACAGTTCTTTTTACTTCATGGGTGACTTTCGCAATTAATTTTAATTATTCCCAAATTTATTTTCAAGTAATAAAAATTGTTATCCTACAATAAATTCGTCGCCAAAATTCACGTAATAGATTTGCCGGAAACAAACGCAATAATGAAAACTAGGGAATCCAAAATTTCAGGATTGTGCGTCCGGATCTGGCACAGAATTTTTGCTCATGGTGTCGGCCTGATTGCAAAATGCTATGATATGTTGGGCTAAGTTGAAAAACTATGACACAATGACATTCGCATTTATTATATAGCTACGTGACATTCAATATCTTTACACCGAATGAATATACGATTGAAAATGCATTTCATTTTATATAGCTACGTGACATTCAATATCTTTACACCGAATGAATATACGATTGAAAATGCATTTCATTTTTATGAACAGAAAGCCATGATTCTCTCATTTCCTTTTTACTAAATTTCACCAAACGCAAAACTCGAAATCTACTCAAGGTAAGAGGTTAGTGAATGAGACATGTGATAGGAGTGAGGGGTGATAGGAGGTGAAGATGATGAGGATAAGGAGGATAGATAACAATTGTCCCTTGACTTGAAGTGGTTAACATTGCAGTGTAGGGGGTTATGGTTAAAATGGTTGTGATGAAAGATGTGTCGTATAAATGGAAGAGAAGCTGGTAGGAAGCGAAGATGATGAGGATAAGGAGGATAGATAGCGATTGATTCTTGACTTGAAGAGATTAAGATTATAATCTACACGGTTACTGTTAAAATAGTTATGAATGCGGTGTGTAATGTGTATGGAAGAGGGAATTTAAATCTTCAACAAACTAGTGTTTCCGCTTGTCTACTTAGAGATTGCCTTTAATAATAATTCAGACAAAACATACATAGGTTACACAACCACTACTTTATCGCGCCAATTAACCTGCTCTACATCCTTTAATAGTTCAGTAAAATCCCATACCACCAGCCAAACAACAAAACACATAATGCAATAATTTTTTATCAATAACATAAAAATATATGAAATAAATTTTAAAAACGGCTACAAATCATAGAAGCATTAAACGTAAAAGACAAACAAAGCAGAACTCAATAAAAATATCAAAATTACGAACAAACAAAATGAATATATTTTAAAGCTTTAAAAAAATAAAGATTGTGATAACAGAAATGTGAAGACGCGATGCATAAAAATATCTCCATGATGTGTGAAAACGAGATATTTATACATTTTGTTCTGGTGCAATTTTATTTCATTCAGTTTCCATGAGAATTACCAAAAGCATGAAGAAAAATATCTCTATCATATAGTGTGAGTATAATCCTTTTTATATGACGACTCACATTATTTGCCACTTGATGGTTTATCGATATATAAAATAAATACTTGTTGGAATCAAAAGGTTTATTTGCTGAATGACGTCACCATCTTGATGCGCAGTTCAGACGAAAGCCTGTTTGCTTTGCGCAGATGGAAAATATTCATTACCTTCTTAAATTACCTTGTTTATATTCGAGTAAGAAAATATACGTTTTCAGAAATATACACTGAAATGTCCCATCAATGGATCTACATTTGAAAAAATAAAATTAATAACCATGTTTTGAGTTCGAAGCTTTAAAAGGAGTTGTGAGTTCGAGGCTTTAAAAGGAGTTGTGAGTTTGATTTGCTGAATAAAGAGAAATGTTTAATAACTTCAGAACGTTTAAAACATAAAACAGCTATAGAAATTTAAAGAAAAACGGCCAATAGGTGTCACCAGAAGTTAAAGAATTTCATTGGGAATCCTGGATAAATTTATTGCGGTTCTGATACGGTCGAATGGAGAATTTTTTCTTTCTGACCTACGTTGATTGGTTGATTTCGTTTAGCGGCCTATCAACACATTTATGGGTTATTTAATGCTGAAATCTAAATAGTTTGAATAAAATATTATGGCGACAGTTAAAATGTATTGTTGGTTATTTTACTATAAATGTGTCTTGTTAATAAATATTCTTAAATAAATATGTATTTTTATATTTTCAAATTGTTTTCTTTTGTGGAGGTCACAAACCCTAACCGGTGCTACAACCCCCGGTCAGGGTGAACAAAAGCAATTAAGAGGTTGTTCCAATCTTCTAATAACCTCCAATCTCCCGATAAGTGGTCTTGCTTCCATATGTAGTTTATCGTCAAACCCAGGACATAATGATTTATGTCTTGTATCGAAAGATAAATTAATCAAGAACTTTCATGGGCAAGGTAGGACATTTTTAGACATTGTGGAACCGAGGAAAGATAAAAACAAAACAAAACAGGTCGGCTCAGTAATCAAGTGACTTATCATGGAACATCGATCACAAAGTCTGATTTAATAGACACATAAGACAAAGCGTCTTCTAGCCGGAATTATTCAGCCTCTACAGTATAGTAATTCTGACAGAATTAAAATCTTAATAGAATTTATTATTGGCAGCCGCAATCTTAGTAACATAATATATGCAGATGAACCAGTGTTGATAGCAGACACAGAAAGGAAACTATAAGATCGTAGGAAAGAAAGAAGAAACGACTAAACATCAATTGTAAGAAGACTCAGTGCATGGTTATCAGCAAAGACATAGTCCAACATGCAAATTAAAAATTGAAGATACTAAAATTAACCTAGTAGAACAATTTACATATCTGGGAAGTGGACAGAAAATGTGACACTGAATTCTGAATGGGCATGGGGATAGCGAAAGATGCCTTCCAAAAGCTAAGCAAAGTAAAGCTAAGCTAACAGAAAAATTTCGTTAGGAACAAAGAAAAAGTACTGAACTGTTATATATCACTCCTAGACAATATTCTCATAGACGAAGAATAGGTATGGGGATAGCGAATTCCAAAAGCAAAGCAAAGTAATAAGAAACAGAAAAATTATTTCATTAGGAACAAAAAAATTACTGAACTGTTATCTATCAGTCCTGGACAATATTCTCATAGACGAAGAATAGTCTTGAAGTAACAGAAATCTTGTTTTATAGAAGGATGCAAATGATACCTAGGACTGAACTTGTGAACTTTAGAGAAAACGAAAACAAAAAAGGATACCTACACTTAACATCAAAAAAAGAAACAATTTCTGGAGATATAGACGGTTTGGAAAATTTGACACTGACAGGAAATATAGACGGCAAGAAGGAAAGAAAAAAATAACCCATAACCTAATGAGTTTAGATAAATGGGTGTCAGGACAGGGTTTAGCTGATATAACAGAAAGACAAAAAAAAATGATGACGTCAGGAAGAAGAAGAAGAAGAAGAAGAAGAAGAAGAAGAAGAAGAAGAAGAAGAAGAAGAAGAAGAAGAAGAAATGACAATATTGTCGGATTGAAAAAATCCTTTACTTTCTTAATTTCCTTTGTCTATATTTCGAGTGTATACGTTGCCAAAAGTATACACCGCAAATCCGATCAAGGTAAATATTCCTTAAAAAGGTTAATTGAGCCTCACCATGTCACAAGGACACCCGTGGCCGAAAAGGTAAAGGCAAAACGATCTAAAAGAAAAACGCAGAAAACCTCCCACGTAGATTTCTTAAAAAAACAAAAGAAAAACAAACAAAGAAAAAAAAAAAAAAAAAAATAAAAATAGCATCGAATTATTTCGGTGCATTGTCGAGGAATAATGGTAAGTAATAGAGTCTGGTTGATCACTGGCAATTAATTTTATATACTTATTGTATGTCCCATGCTTGTAGTTTCCTACCAATATAAATATATTAAGCACCTACTGAGATAGTCTGATTGACCATTACTATAAAGCAAGAAGTTTCACTCTCACTGGGTGGCCAAAATTTGCTCAAAAGTAGACTCAGTAAAGTATTTGAACGTAACGATGGAGTAATGGTTAACAAACTAGTGTAGGCGACCATAACTGCTGAATAGTAAATTCAATCTTAAATGGTTTGCCTTGTAACAGATTAATCTAATTGTAGTAGTCAGTGAGTTAGCCTGATTATTGCAGCTGAATAGCAAATCGGTCCCTCACTAGTTGTTCAATAGTTGTGAATTTAAGCTGAAGCTAAAGCGTTTAGTAAATAACATTTGTGTGCCTAAATGTAATGTAAATTACAGATGGTTGGTGATTAGTTCGGTCCTCAGTCTATGCTTTATACTTTTTGGCTTTGTGTTAGGGCAAAAAGCTAGCGTAAATAATCAACGGTGAATGATTGTATTTTCGGACAGCCCATTCTTATGAAAAATATAATTTTATTCATGCAATTGATTGGGCTGTTATCGACTTTGAAATTTATTGTTATTAAGCGGCGTCGATGGTTTTATATATTTTATGGCTTACGCAACCCATAAGTCAGAGAATACGCCTGCGTTTTATCTGACTGGATAATGGTAACTCGTAGAAACCTGCCTACAAGTAATCGATATTCGATTAACAGATAGATGTTGTGTAGTCCTGTGTGATCCCATTAGGAGTTCGATTTTTGCTCGCGCGTTCCTCAGAAATATATTGATGAATCTTATTTTTCTTCCTAGTTTTATGCGCATGTCTGAAATAATAAGACCCCGAAATAAAATCCGAAGCATTTAGAAGAAATATTAACTTTCATGAACATTTTCTTCCGTAAAAAATCAGTGGAAGAAGATTGAAAAGAAAAAATTCAATGCAACGATATAAAAAAATGATGCCAGACATTAATATTTACTGATGGACGACTTCACGTATAAAACAGAAACATTTCCACGGACAAAAGGATTAATTAAATTGATTGAAGATATAATAAAAAAGGAGCCTACTGTAGCACTACGATTAGTAAACTCGTCTCACTGATTCGTTAATGTTATGAGGTCGATCCACGTTGAAGTCTTTACTATTGTGTCCTTGTACCAGACAATTCTAAGCTTGGTATATCTTTTGGAAAGCATCATCCGCTATCCCAATACATCTTCGAATTTCAGTGTCACAATTTCCGTCCTCTGTTAAAACACTTCCCAAATATTTAAATTGTTGCACTGGTTTGATTTTGGTAAATTTGAATTTTTAAAATTTTCCACGCAAGTAGTATTTCTCACTTGAAAACTTGGCGCAACACATTCTTCCTACGTCGTAGTGACTGGTAATTGTACAGAATATAGCAAAAACGACATTGGTAAAAAATAATAAGCACTTTCATTCAGAATACAAGCTCATTTAGCGAGATCCGTTTTCTTTATTGAAAGATATTTCTTCAGGAGTTGCTTTTCTCTGAGTGTTAAAATATCGATAGTCAGCTACACGACCCCTACGTGTATTACCAATTACTCATTTGTTCTTTTGCTGTCCAGTAATTTCATGGCACACTTTTGATGGCAATAAAGCCACTAAGACACAAGGGTGTTACTGAGTGTTAGAGAATATGTGAAAAATATACTATTAATGAAATAGAAGAAACTGTAACCATAGAACTCTGTAATATTTTTAAACCACAAACTTAAAATGATCCGAATGTCTTTCTATTGTTTAACTTTATTGATAACAAAAAATCAACCTTAAAACAGAATTAAAATCGATCAAACTGCAATAAAGTTTGTGGCCCGTTGATAAATGGGCCACAAACTGACTCTAAACTCTATATACTTTGAATAATAATAATAAGCTTTGCAAATGCCATAGATACGTAGGTAGGAGTGAACAAGTGCATAATTATACTAGTAGACTATATTTTATTAGATTTTATTGTTAATTTAATAAACGCAACAGTCATAGGCAAAACCCAAACATCATCTCGTAGTACTAATGTTATGTTTACAATATTCTGGATGTAAGACCTTCACTCAAAACAAAAGGTCCTCAATTCGATAGTCGTATGTAATTTAGTGAACTACATCAGTCTCACGATTCTCTCGATAGACAATGACTTACGCACCTGCCTATGCGTCGAAAACGCGGGAATTCTTCATCTAATTAACTCCAAATAAGGATGGCGTCTCGGTAAGGTGTTGGAAATGCCGCTTGCTGTAAATTGATAATGATTGCTTTTTGCATGTAGCCAATTCTGGTTAAGTGAGGAGATGGTGAGCCGAGGGTGGGAATCTCATTTTAAAATGTAAGTCAAAATGAAGAAAACGAAAAGAATAGATTAAGAACTTGGAAAATAATGGAATCTGTCGAAGACAGAGATGTGGGGGGGGTGCAAGGCGATAAGGAGTCAACAGATAATAGATAAGGTGGATGCTGGTGTAAGGCGTTGAGGAGTCAGAATAAATTAAAGAATGAAAGAATCGTAAGTGAAAAAAACGAATGAGTCAATGAAGCAAGAAAGAAAAAGAAAACAAAAAGGAAATTTCTTCAAAAGAATTTTTGAGCAAAAGAATGCAATAAAAAAAATAAATGAACGACAGAATGAAAGAAAAAGGAAAATATGAATTTAAAGGGAAAAATGTTTGTAAAAAGCAAAATGAAAATTCTTGAGAAGGAAATGGGTTGAACGATAAAATTCAAGACGGTGGAAAAGAAAGAATAAAAGAAACAAGGAAGGAAAAATAGAAAAAGTAAAATATCCGAAAAAGAAAGAGAAATCCAACGAGAATATTTAAACGAATGAATGAAAAAATATAGAAAAGATAGACTGAAAGAATAAGAAAGAAAATGATTGTTTTGTTTAATCAAACTTTTGTAGATTATTTAAAGCCAGAGAGTATTTTTAACAGCGTAATAATTTTGAGAAAAAATAGTTATTTACTAATACAATTCCTATTAATTTATCCTAAGCTAGCCGGGGCGGGGAGTGGTGGAGTCATGCCTTTCCCAAGGTTATTGGCACATAAGTAAATATAACAAATCCAACAAAATTGGAACCCAAATCACCGATTTTCAATTCCGAGCTCTAAGTCCTTTATACCACCCACACATCCAAGACTACAGCACGTGATATTCGCAAGCGGTCACCCATCTAGGTTCTGACCAGTTTCGACGTTGCTTAACTTCGCTGATTCTACGAGAAACAATGTTTCGACCGGATATAGCCGTAAGCAATAGGAAAGACAAAAGAAGTTGAACATGTATAAGAAATAGAAATTATTACTTGATTTAAAAATAACGTAAAATAAACCTCAGGTTTTACAAGCATATATATGTACTAAGATAAGAACATGTCTGAAATGAAAGTTCACAGTTGCGTACATTTGCCTTCTCAAATTCTCTATACGCCTGTGAATCTTGGACATTAACGACAGACTTACAGCGAAGAATCCAAACATTACAAATGAGACGCTACGGAACAATGCCAGGAATCTCCTCCATAGAGCGCATCACAAATGGCGCAACGCGAGACACAATCAAACAAGAAATACGTCCATTGGAAGACTTCAAAGCCATCGTCAATATGAAGAAGATTAAATGGTAAGAACACGTCATTAGAGCTAATAATCTTTTTACTGACATTCTACACTCTTAGGCTAAAGACATAACAACATGTCTTATTTTCCATTCAGCCTCTTTGCCATAGTCGCAATGTTAAAAAAATGTCGCTATTCTGTGGTAAATATTTTGTTCCATTCTTCAGACTTTTACTGCGAGGATGGAATACAGACCTCCACCTATTATCATTTTGGTATTCTTCCCAAAGCAGTAATCAATATTGTAAATCGTTAAATTAAAACAAAAATGGACAATTGGTGTCGCATTTACTCTGGAGCATCTACCACAAATACTCTTTGTTCCAATCTCCAGATCTTTACGACGAGGATGCACCATGAATGCAGACCCCACCTATCATCATTCCAGTAGTCTTCTCAATATAGTATATTTTCTTATGCTTTATTTTTATCATACCCAAATTAAACCAAAAATGAACATTTGCTGTCACATTTGGACTGGAACATCTCAATCCTCATTATCCAACGATAATAGCCTTCGAAATTGTGTACGCGGTCTTGGTTGGGGGAATAAATATTTTCTGTTCTGCAATCTCTTTCCCACAGAAATAACATCGCTAATCTATCGCTATTTCAATGGCAAATCTTCAGATGTGTTCCATTTCTTAATTCAACCAGTTCAGACCTTTACACCGAGGACACACCATGTTATTCCCCTGGCGGGAGAATCAGCGACATTTCCTTTGTATTCCAAATGTCAGCAGAAGGTTCCACTAAGACAGCATTTTACAAAAAATACTTCTTTTTGGACAACTGCGGGGATGCTCCTGCGAATACTTCAATATTAACCTCTTCAAGTCAAGGATCAATCGTTGTATAATCTTCCCTGCCTTCTATTTACTCTTTCACTCATATCACGCACCTCATTCATTGCAGCCATTTTAACCATCTACTTGGAGTGGCTCTTGAGCATCCTACTGGATGAACAAAAACATGGAAAATGACACATCTACTTAAGATACAGGTACCTATCTATTAAATAAAGAAAAATTGCTGCATAAACCTCAGTCTATTTCATTAACACACACACACACACACACACACACACACACACACACACACACACACACATATATATATATATATATATATATATATTATGTGCGTGAAAGTGACAGAATGAGAGTGAAAGAATAAGTAAGAGAGAATATTAGAGCAAATGGGAGCGAACGATAGCTAACTAGATAGATATGAACAGACAAAGATATATACATAGGTAGATATAAACAAACTGAGATAGATCAATAGATAGATTGTAGTTATTAAAAAATCAAGTAAAGTACTTCTCAGAGTTTCATGCGGTTCTTGCAATCTTCTGACCGTTAAATAGATCGAGGTCTCGTGGTGATGATTTAAAATTGTGTCTTAAAACTATTGTTGCGTAAAATATTAGAATTAACTATTAACAATTTTTATCCTTCCAATTCATAAGATCAAAAGGCGAAGAATTAAAAATATAAAAAATAAATAAATAGAGGAGAACATGACTAAAGACTGTGTGTACGCCATCCCGTGCAGTTGCGGAAAGAAACATAAAGGTGAGACAGGCCGCCTCTTAAGGTAAGGCTTCAAGAACATCAGAAAGCTGTAACACGAGGGGAAGTGGAAAAATCAGGCGTGGCTGACCACATATGGGGAGAAAAGGGAGATCACCGCCCTCTGTGGGATCATTTTGAAATCATAGACAAAGAACATCATTGGAAAATTCGTAAACTTAAGGAATCAGCACATATGCTTGGCCACAAAAATCTCCTGAGCCGACCAAGCATAGAAATATATACAATATGGGAACCAGTAATAAGGAGTGCCAGAGAAAAGCAATAATAACAACGAAATTTGCAATACGAGCTCCGGTTAAAAACATGCAATGATAACAGCAAAGAATACAATATGAGCACTGGTAAAAATGGTTGTCGAAGACATTAAGTTTGTAAGTCCCAGAAATTCATATTCAGATGTCCTCAAGGACACATTGCACAGTTGATAAAGGCGTCCAAAGATTTGGTTAAGGCAGTGAAGAACTTGGAGAGGTGAATTAACAGGAAATAACTGATAACTGACATCCATTAGACATGGCACGTGGAACTAGAACAGTCTACACAATTCTCTTTACAGAAGTATATTAAGGGAGATACTAAACAAAAGGAGAACCATGTCGTTAATTAACTAATTCTTCCAATGCACCGGTTGGAGAAATTAAATATATCAATGTCAAATTTTGGAGGAGAGTCGTCCATATAAACGACAACCCCCAGGAAAAAAAAAGACAGTGAGAGAATCCTGTGATCGGACAGAAAACAAACACAAAGACGGGCCTGGGTTTGCTCGTAAAGACATTTGTCATTAGAGAGCACACCTACAATTTCCATGACCGAAGCGAACACACAGACACATGCATGACAAAAAAATTGAGTGAGAATTGATTATTACTTTGAAGAACTGTGTGAGTTTCTACTGGGTGACTGTTATTTTAGCATTTGCGATTAGATTTCCTCAAATAATCACCCCGCAGTAGAGAGCTTTAGTTTGCACTGGATAATAGCGGTAATTTATTCAGCCAGTTTTTCCTGATATTCAATAAACCTGTTTTTTGAGTTATCAACACTGTTGTGCATTTTATCGAAAGAGTTCTTATTCCAGTTTGATTCAGAATTTGCACTCGGATGCAAAGCGACAAAAGTTATCACGACCACAGACACGAATTAAATAATCTCGTCTTTGGTACATAACGTTCACAAGGGTTCACACTAGACTTTGCCGTCAAACTCAAATATCGCAAGATTTTGGGAAACGAATAAACCCTAATGAGTTGTGACACCAATCCCAACCGAAGAAGGAAAAGAAAATCAGACGATCCGTAAGTTTGGTATTACTCAACAAAACTAGACTAATTAGCGACTACAGGAAATAGATTAAGAAGAGGAGGAAAGAGAAACAAACAGGAGAATGGTGGTTGGTGTGATTCGAGCAGTACAGGTGAATTAAGTGCACACAAAAAAAAAAAAAAAAAAAAAGAAGAAATTATGAGGAAAAATAAATTGCGACACGACATCTGTGATCTGGACACCTGCATAGTAAAAGTTTATGTTGTTATACATTAGATTTATTTTGTCTCTTTGTAAGAGGATACATTGTTTTATGCTGAGATTATTATTTTCCGTAAATTTAGTCTGTCAGCTGTTCACTGTCTGGGTGTGGATTAAAAAAATTCTTATGAATTTGGTGGGTTTTCAAAGCTGCCGTCTACTTGATCAAAAGATAATTAAATGATTAAATAAATAAATGTAAACTTTTGGGATCAAGTGACACTTGACTGGTGTTGGAGATTTCTGTTCAAAGTCTTATATAAACGATCAGTTGATATTGAGATTGATTCTGAACTGCCCATTGGAGGGGGACAGGCTGCCCAACGAAGTTGTTCCGATGACACCCGTCAAAATTGCCAGCCGCGTGTCGTGATGTGTAAATGAGCAGAGGGATATTAGAAGAGACAGTGTCCGCTTGTTGGGTAAAGTTGATCTGTCAGGGTGACATGGCAGACCTTGTCACTCTTACCTACCCACCAAGAACGTTTAAATCAATCCAATGAAATGAGCAATTAAATATACGGAAAACATGTGCTTTTCAGCTTTTGCAGTGACCTTACAGTGAACCTTTTGCAGTGAACGTACAGTGAACCTTTCCTAGTTTTGGTGGCACACCAACCCGTACGAAAAGACGCAACGTGTAATTCTTTTCTTGGTCGGAGACAAACATTTACAACACATTTTTTTTTTTTTTTATAAATCTCATTTAATACGTAAGCTGTTGATTTACCTACTATATATATATATATATATATATATATATATATATATATATATATATATATAGCAGCATGGCCCGTCGTTGTCCGTGCTTGATTCAAAAATCGTACGACTCATACAGCAATCGCTGTCACTTGACTTAAAACATTTTTGCCCTTCCTTGCCTTTAAAGGAGTGCTCTTTGCCGTGCTGATGTTGCTACATGCCTTACTTCTTGCCTATTTCACACTGCGAATTTTTTCTAAGCTCTATACTGAACATTAAATCTGTTACGAAAAAAGAACTAAACAAAATGAACACAAAACGATCAGCTTTAAAAAAGGACTCGTAACTGGAAAAACCGAATGAAAAAAGAATGTTAACAACAAATACTTTTCACACCCAACCCAGTCCTGCGGAATCAGAATCAACGTTGAGTTTAAGCAAGCGAATGAACCAATTGGAATAAAGAGCCATGCAGATTTAAATTTTTCCCACTTGTGACGAATGCAGCTATCGATTTTTTTTTTACATGCTAGTATGCTAGTTAACATTCGTGTCAGTCAGCTGTTGGCTCTCACGCTAGAATCTTCCTGCCTATTCGTGGCAGTCAGCTATAGGCTCTCACTCTGGCCAGTAGAAAATGGCCGCAAATCACATGAAAACTGCCGTAGAAGCATGAAAAAATCGATTATTTTCACTATCGATGGGAGTTGGGAAATGCAAAGTCAGTCTTGGCCTTCCCGCTAACTTGGAGCATGTGCATGTAAATTTTGGTGAAAATCCGTCGAAAATTGCGGCCGTGCATTCGTTACACACAAACGCATCCTGCCTTATATATATATATATATATATATATATATATATATATATATATATATATATATATATATATATATATATATATATTGTGTATTTGGGTAGCAAAACCTCTTTAATAATTGACAAGATAATTCTGTTAATTTTTATTGTATTTTTCTTGTATACAAGAGTGAGTGTGGATAAAAATACTCCCAATGATTTTCCAAATAAAATCCTTGAAATGGCTGATGGATGAACCCAGAAAGGACAATCATTTGGACAATCACTAAATCCCCAAGAGAAATCTCTTGTTCGCATAAAAAAAATCCAACACAAAATCATAGAATTACCCTGTCAATCATTTTAACGAAACACACACACACACACACACACACAGAGAGAGAGAGAGAGAGAGAGAGAGAGAGAGAGAGAGAGAGAGACGCTCACGCGCAAAGATATATGTATGTGTGGGTTCGTATGTTTGTGTGTGTGTTCAATAACAGGAAAATCAAAGAAACATGTCTTTATTCTTGACATCTAAGAGTGGCAATATATTATAGGTTAATGGATGATTTCTGCAAAAAAGCAAGTGGTATCGATTTCTTTTTACGAAATATTTGATAGCCATTCTTTGGCCATCGATCCATTTACATAGACAAGGGCATATGGAAAAATATCCCTGCCGCATTTAATAAAACATGCAGCTGATTAATCACGTAGAGGTTGTCTTCAAAACTTAAATCCTATTTATAAGTAACACGCACATTATGTACAGTTTTTTACAGTAAGGTTCAACCTGTACAAAACCCGGGGTCACATGAGGTAGAGGGTTAGATTAAGGGGCTAGTTTATAGGGATAGGAGGGGGATGATAACGGTTGATTCTAGTCTTGAACAGGTTAAGATTGTAGTAATCGGTGAAACATCATCTAAGGAGTCTGTTCCATAAGGCAGTGGTTCACGAGAAGCAGCTGAGTGGAACTTTCTTCTCGGAGGGAATACGAAGGAAAAGAGGAGGTATTTAGCGTGGTTTGCTTCTATGTAAGTGGCGTTGGGGGTGGGGGTGGGGTCTAGCCGTGAAGATCAGACCTGGAAGACCTAGGAGATGCAGTTCGTCCCAGTCCTTTCTATGGTAGCAGCGATAGAGCAGAGAGAGACTGGCCAAATTCCGCTTGTGAGAGAGAGGTTGGAGTGTAGAAAATAATTCTTTCTTCAACAAAGACTCGAAGATGCTTTTAAGCTCTATGAAGATTAGAAAATGAGGTCTGGGCAACTCCCACCCAAATATGAAAACAGTGATCCATTTTAGGCCTGATCTGGCTTTTATAGAGGATTACATGAGAAGTCACGTACTTACTGGGACGGTACAAGGTGCCGATAATTTTATCAGAATCCTTAATTAAGGATCGTATACAGGAATTCCACTTGGGTGTGAGTTTATCGCCCAATGACAAGGAGCTTCCTCGAGAGGACACCCGTTCATCGTGACTGGCGATCGTTCGGAGTCTTATGAGAAAAGGCATGAATCCATCTGTTCTCTCTCAAGCTATGGGTAAATAGCAGAACAGCCTGGGTACTATAGCTTTGGGTGGCAACTGATCTAGGATAAGGACAACTCTGAATTTAAAATCTGAGGAGAGTCGTTTAGGAACCATGTGACACACGATGTGCACTCGTTTTCTGCATTCAACTCGTCCACCATTGCAATCAAATCATATAGAAATATAGTAACCATTAGACGTGAGATACTGTGGAAAGAACGCAATATTAGTAAGTTTGATTAGGTTCTGCAATAATTGCAATATATATATATATATATATATATATATATATATATATATATATATATATATATATATATATATATATATTGACAACATGTCATTATTGAAGCATGTGTTGTTAAAGATTCACTTAAGAAACACCACAACCATATTACTGCCAACAAAACAGAAATTGGTTCCCACAAACTAACAAAAGTAATAGATGGTTATCAACTCGGTTTCATCTACGGGTAAGTAAAAAAAAAGATATCAGGAACCCCCCTCCGACCCATCTCACAAATCAAATTCTTACTCCTGTATACCATATAGCTAAACATATTAACGGTATAATCCAATCATACATACCTAACAAATACAACATCAAATCGACTAACGATTTCATATAAAACTCTACTACCCCCAATGACTGTATAACGGCATCCCTTGACGTCGAAAACCTTTTCACTAAAGTCCCGTCTACGAAATCATCAAAATAATCACTAAAAATGTCTATAACCATCCTTCAATTGCCCTTCCTGCCATAAAATCTACAATCCTAGAAAAAGGATTAATAATATGCAGCACACTAGTTACCTTCTACGACCCACTAGCAAAAATATCTACTCATATTGACGGCGTATCGATGGGTTCTACACTTGGTCCTACGTTCGCCGAATTCTACATGTTACACATCGAAAAAACATATTCAATAACCATATAACCAAATATACTACGTCGACGACATCTTTATAACAACACAAAAACACGATACAATTAATAAACTAAAACATTTTGAGGAAAACAACATTTGAAAATTCACAGTCGAACTAAATATCAACAATAAAATACCATTTCTCGACGTACCCAAGACTCCAGCAACATTTAGTACATCAATATTTAAAAAGCCAACAAGTAAAAATTCCTGCTTCCATAGTGAATGTCCAGATAAATATAAAATAGCCCTAATCAAAACTTAATCGATACAGCTTTTCACATCTCCTCATCAAGAACAATATTTTACAAAGAAATTACCAATAAAAAAACAAACACTCATAAGCAATAAGTTTCCCCAATAATTTCCCCAACAGAGAAAACATTGCCTTTCAAATAGTCATTATTATAACAAAGATAAAAAGACTGACAATAATAACACTATTAACCTTTTCTATTGTTATCAAATGCACAGCAACTATAAAATTGATGAACTACATATAACTTTCATCATCCACAGACACATTAATTCCATCCAACAACACAAGCAAATAATATTAATAATATACTACGCCAAATTTAAAACCTCAAACCTAATTGTCCGAAATAATACTACTTCCCCAGTATCTCAATAAAATCAATGTAGTGTACAGGTTTACATACGCGTTTCGAAAGTGTTTCTCAAATAATAACACGAACACATCGGATACACAATCACAACTCTCTCACGTCGACTAAAGTACCATCTTAATGACACCAGCGCCATAAAAAATCACCTTATAACAACACACTGTACCACTAGTAACAAATTCAAATCGTTCAAAATAAGAAAAATTCTAATCAATAATACTAAAATACTCGACAAAAACAAATGCAAAAAACGTTTACACTCCCAACATAAATAAAATAGCATAATGGCAGAAACATCTTAAACATATCCTCTCCAAATTCCTTATGAACTAATCCAACAACAGTCTCTAAATACCCAAAATATTATCTATAAAATAAAATATTAAACAACCTACTTCAAAGCAAAACATACAGTCGTGATGACAGTTGACGACAACCGAAAGCTCTTGGCAAAACAATGAGGACTAGGGTGTTTTTTTTCAACAACTTAGACACAAATATATGAAAAAGAAACTTGCGACAAAGCAAGAAATAAACAGAAAAAGATTATTAAACGGAAAAGATTTTAACAACACATGCCCCAATAATATATATATATATTCATTTCGTTTCATCTTTTGGAAGTGCTATCTGATGATCCAGAGTCCTTTAAAAGGGCTCTGGTGAAATAAATTATTATAATGGAACCTTAAAGTGGTCTGTTTTTCTTTAGTATATATATATTTTTTTTTTTTCTCAGCATCAATCGATGCAAGGCAGTAAGGGATTTCAGGGTGTGGAAGAATTGACACTGCATTTATTTTTTAGAAGTTGCCTGGAAAGCATGTAGCTGGAATGGATTTTCACATGTGAGATGTGCGTGAAAAGTAACTGTTAGCATACAATCATAAAACCAGACAAGCGGTAAATTAAATTGATCAACGTCTAGGTTAACCAAATAGCGTCAACCATCAACAAGACACATCGAATTAACAAGACATCTTGAATCGCTACTTAAGTTTTACGCTCTCGTGATATTCCGTCGATTATTATATATATATATATATATATATATATATATATATATATATATATATATATGTGTGTGAGTGTGAGTGTGTGTGTGTGTGTGTGTGTGTGTGTGTGAATATGTACATTTGATCTCTGGGAAAATGTGGGTTGGCAAAGAACGGTATCATATTGCTTAAAACAAATGCACTTTTCATCATTAGGTAACGGCAGGAATCAGAGAGAGAGAGAGAGAGAGAGAGAGAGAGAGAGAGAGAGAAGAGAGAAAGAGAGAGAGAGAGATGGGGGGGTAACATAGGGGATCGAGGAGGTAGGAATAAAGGATGAGAAAGGAAGGCAGAGATAGAGAGAGGAAAGAGACAAATGGCGTGACAAAAGAGGAAACTTTTGAAGAAAGAGCGAGAAAAGGGTGGGAGATAATGAGCGAGTGTCGGAAAGAAAGAAAGAAAGAAAGAAAGAAAGAAAGAAAGAAAGAAAAACAAGGAGTTTTACAAACGGTGACCGAAGAAAGCAAAAAAGAATAGATAAATAAAAAGAAAGAAAGAAAGAAAAGAAAATATAATGTGGAAAGAAAAGAAAGAAATGTGAAAGAAAGAAAGAAAGAATGAAAGAAAGAAGGAAAAATAAAGGCCTTTACAAACGGTGGTTGAATATAAAAAACAAGAAAAGAAGATGATAAGAAGAAAGAAAGAAAATAAGAAAGAAAGAAATAAAGAAAAGATATCAAAAGAAATTCTTTGCGTGACGTACATAGAAAAATAAAAATGCGAGAATGAAAATATAATGCAGAGTAAAATAAAGAAAGATAAAGAAATAGAAGATAATGGATGTGGGAAAGCATAAAAAGTGAAATTAGAATGAATCAACCGTGTATCCTAGTAACTGGTTGTCCTTTATCTTCGCCATTTTCACGGCTACTGAAGCTTAGGTTCGAATGCGCATGCGTCGTTAACAGTTTCTGGAAGGAACGCATTCAGGTATTCTTCGGTACATAGAAAACTCATGCGAGTTACGTAGTCAAATAAACACAATCGATTGACGTGTCGTCGAAGCATTCAGGCGACAGAGGCAAGGAGTCATTATCTTAAAAGCAGTTGACATGGCGACAGTCTTTGCTAATAGAAGCGGCAATGTAGAGAGGTTTTCGGTTTGATTCCATTGCATACGGAAATATCTACGAAGAAATATATAAAGGATGAGGTCATGGCACTTACTGGCCAATGAGATGAAAAGATAACATGATGGTAACTAAAGGCGAATATTTGTATTGTAAATTATATTATTTCAAATTTGGTGCATTACAAGCAGGAGAATCCTCAATATCAGAGCGCGTATATATATATATATATATATATATATATATATATATTATTATTAAACGTTCATTTAATAAATGAAAAATCCATTACTAATATATATATATATATATATATATATATATATATGTGTGTGTGTGTGTGTATACACACACACACACACACATATATATATATATATATATATATATATATATATATATATATACATACGTATATATATATGTGTTTCGATATATATATATATATATATATATATATATATATATATATATATATACGCAAAAAAATGTAAAAAGAAGACTGACTCCCCCAACCTCTTTTCATCACTTACAGTTTTTTTCTCGCCTCTTTCTCTCTCTGTCTCTCTCCCTTACCCCATCCTTATACTTTTAACCTTTTACTTCCGGTGTTCTGGTATATTGAAGTAATTTTCTTTGGCTTGTACATCCTTACACTTGCCTGAGGAGATTTTACGGTTGAAACCCGGGTTGCCAGATTGGTCGGCATTTTAGCCTTTTCTTATATATATATATATATATATATATATATATATATATATATATATCTTATTCTGATGGTCATAGGAGGGAATCTAAGTGGTACAAATCAAAAGTAGTTTTCGTAATGTGTTAAGTCTAATTTTTATAGTGGTAGAGATAAATTGATGCAATATTCTTTATAATTATATCAACCAATAGATAGATAAATAGATAGATAGATAGATAGATAGATAGATGGAGGTGTGCCTGAGTATGTGTCTGTGTATGTATAGAAGATTGTTTGAGTCTTAAAACTGACAGTTACGTACCGTTCTAATTTCCGTTTTCGTTCTTTTTCTGTATGCCCATCTATCTATCTATCTATCTATCTATCTATCTATCTAACAAATAAGACAAAATGTTCTAAAATTATTTTCTCAACTCAAAGTTTCGTAGAGGTATCCAGTCAGATATTTTCTTCTTCTTCTTCTTCTTCTTTACTGATAGTTCATCCAATAGAAGACCCAAGAGCCACTCAAGGTAGAAGGTAGGGAGGAGAAAGGAAGAAGTATTATGAGGATGAGTAAAATAGATATCGGTTAATCCTGGATTTAAAGAGACTAGGATTAGTTGTCAGGGAAACGTTCTTTCTCTCCCACGGAGTTTGTTCCATAAAGTAACAGTTCTGAGTGGAACTTGCTTTTTATCAAATGAACACAAAGTGGATGAAGTGATTTGCCACCGTGAACACGGCATGACGGGTCGGGCATGACGGGTCGTAGCTGATGACACTAAGAAATGGAACTCCTCCGAAGAGCTACCATAACAATAGCGATATATTAGTGAAAGGCTGGCGACGTTTTCCCAGTAGGATAAAAGGTTGCAGGGTGGACAATAATTCATTACCCCAAAGGACGCGTCAGGATTTGACAGTACCAGTCAAGTGATGGCATCAGTACTCCATTCTTGGACTGGTCTATCTCTTATAGTTTGGTATTTTCAGGAGCGATACCTACCATTCTCCCAGTATCTTTTGTAATGGCACCAAATATGCTATTACTACGACTACTGCTATTAATAATAATAATAATAATAATAATTCACTTCCGCAAAGCATATGGTGTTCCATGCTAGTATTTCTAGGTCACCTCTCATGACTTCATAAATTGAATCGATCGTATTTTCTTTTCATCGACAGTCTGTATCCCATACATTTTCTGTTACGATCAAACATGATTTTTTTGTCATGACGCTATTTTCAAATTGCCATCCAGTATCTACAGTTTTTTCGCTTTTTGGGGGGCAATACCTATCAGTACTCCAATGATAACTGGTACTACAATTACTACTTCCTTTGTTAGTCCTTTCCAAACTGAAAATTTCATACTTTACATCATCGTGGTTGTCAATTTTCTACTTTTCTTGGCTTTCAATGCTTTTGTCTTTATCTGTTTATCCTGGAAATCTATGCTTTTTTTTTAAATGCATTCTAATGTTATCACTGTCTGTATCAAATATTCCACAGGATTTTTACTTTGCTATTCTTTATCACTTTCTTCTTCTTTGTGTTCACATGGTCATAATACTTTTCACTTTAGTCAAGCCCGTGCTTTTTACACAACTTTAACATTGCCTCTATTTTTTTTTATACTAATTTTGGGCCATAGAATTGCATTCTGATTCAACTGATACTCTCATCTCTCTCTATCCACACATTCTACGCTGAAGTGTTGACTTTAAGAACATTTACTTTTTAACAGTTGGCCCGCAAAGCCTGACGCCGCTATTATTATTATTATTATTATTATTATTATTTATATCGATTAAAAATGCAACTGAAATTAAGTTTGAAGAAATTGCGATCGCAAATCCATTAGCGTTGAGGCAAACTATATAGATTAAAGCTGTATCAGCAGTGGGTTTCTCTTGTGTAAATAGTCTGAAGGCTTTCTTCCATATTTGAAATTTATCCTCCAAGATTTGGTTGTTCTACCACAGCTAAAGTGTCCAGTCTATACTATTATATATTAAGGTCCTGAATTTAGAGTTTTCCTTCTTTTAAATTGACTACCCAATCAAAGGTAAGAGACTCGATGTGTATATCAGGTTGGTACCCGACTTTACTTTCCATGTCGATGGCAATGATACCAACCGTTTATCCATTAAAATAATTCTGGTCGAAAAGTAATAATTAAAATATTGGAAATAATAATGATAATATAGCTATTCCCACTCTTTGAAAGATCTGAAAAGAAACAACGTTTTTTTCCTAATTTTTTCTTTTCGTGTAGATAATGACGAATTACGAAATTACAAAATAATGATAAGTTATTGCAATACGTCGAATACTTTTTATTTATTTTTTACAATGATGCCCACAGCGCACAAGGCTCTGTAATGGGGTTGCTGCTAATGACAGAAATTAAAATGCATAAAACGTACAAAGATAAAAATAAAAACTTGAGACACGTGTTGACATAAATAACAAGAATTTCTATTTTATTTTTGTGATGTGAATTATAGAATATTGGAATGGTGTGTATACAAATGTTCTTGATGTCTCTTTTATTTAAAAGTCAGTGCTTACTTGGTTTGGTTCTGAGAATTTCGTTTGTGAAGATAGCGTTTTAAATTGTCTGTTTTCGATCTTCACGGAGCGCTGACTAGACGTATGTTTCTGTGCTGCTATTGCTACTTGTCTATTCATTAGCGAATACTGCTCCAAGTACCCTAGTCTACTCTACTGTTCTCTAATCTACTGACTCTTTTATGGTGGAAGGGTTGTTTTTATAACGATGAGGGTTAGGAAGATGAAATATCCTTTTCTATCATCACTGATGGCAAGGTTATTTTTAGAATGATGAAATATAACAGTTCAATAGTCATTCGAGATAGAGGGTTATAGTGTGTCACAGTTTATGTGAAGACGTACAGATCTGCGCTTTACCCGATAAACACAGGTAAACACATAGTTGACCCAGCTGCGCTTAGGATGTGAACGTATGGGGAAAACCGTATGACAGATATATAAACATTCATCCCGGGGCGGAGAAAATCTACGTTCGGAGAAGGTCACAATATGAAACACACACTAGAGCCGACGGTTAAATAAACATTAATGATAAATTTAATTTGGTGCTTTCATTTGTAATGTACAATGTTAAATTTACACAGATCGCTAATGAAGGCGCTGCACACTGCACTGATGTCATCACCCTCCACCCCGAGAATAAGTGCAATGTCATATTCGTATCCCAAACGCTGAATGATATCATCAGTGCTCGATAAAGTATGGACGTAGCTCTTATTTATTTATTGTTAAATCATTTTAGCCCAAGAAAGGCAATAAAGTTATTAAAGCACAATGGGTTACAGAATGTGGAAAAAATAAGAGAAAAAGAAAACTATTAAGGAGAGAGAAGAATAAAAAAAGAGGAATTAAGAAGACAAAAATAACGATTGACAATTACATTTTTTAATATCAAAATTGTGTGAAAAGCAAGAGCCTGGAAGAGAGTTTCAAAAGCGAGAAGTGTGAGAGAAGGAAATTTTAGCATAGAATGTAAAATGATGAGACCTAACTGCCAATCTAGTACTGCGCTTACATCCGTAAAGTCGATGAGTGAAAGAGGAAATGAGAATAGTGATAGAAAAGCAACACAAAAGTACCATTACAGTCGTAGGAAAATCAATGTAGCTGAGATACCATGACAGAACGGATAACTTTGCAGATTCTTTGAATTTTATAAAATAACTCTAAATAAATAGCAGAAACACAAGACCAGACGTGAAAGCAATAGTCAATGCATGGATGAATGGTAGACTTATAAATGTGTAAGACACATTCTAGCGACAAAATTGTCTAGCATAAGAAAATGAATCAACTTTCCCAGCTGTGGACCTAGCAAATGATTCAATATAATATTCCCACTTCACGTCAACGGAAAATGTTAGCCCGTTTTTATCGAATAATTCAGAAGTTTTAAATAATTGTACGCCCTGAAAATTATATGAAAAATTATATAAAAAATTCAGCATACAAAAATTGTTCTTCGGCTTACTCATATATTAAGCAGGAGAGCCATAGGGGCCTAAAATACTTAAAAGATTTTCGTACCCCTATACATATGCGAATTAAGCTAGCATAGTGTCTCGGTGAGTAGTACAAAAAAAGGACATCAGTCGAGAAAGTGCATCGCGGAAACACCAACTGGAAATCAATATAGAATGAACCGAAGGGACAGACGCCCATCGTGGGAGGCTGGGTACCAGCCCCGACCCTGAACAACATCAATGCCCTGGAAACCCATCCGAAAAGAACGAACCGCATCTGAGTAGCTACTCTCAAATGAACCATGACCAGATTCTAATAGAACTGTGATCAGAAAGGTGTCGTGTAACCAAAAAACCAGCACGCATCACATAAGTATATGGTCAGAATAATGCCAAATGGACATGAGGGTTGTCTATGTGATAAAGTAATCAGGAGTAATCTCCCTTGTTTTATGATTACCTCCCTTTATAGAAATCTTTCATTTCAAGAGGACGTTAAATAGTCACTACACTGGTATCAATTATTCTAAACAGAATAAAGCTTCCTTAAGTTTATTCTTGCTCTCTTTTGTTATTACAGTCTATTCCTGTGATTGTTCACCAAAGATTGATCACATAAAGTTAATTAGTAATACTAACTTATTCAAAAGGGAACATTTGATATATTGTCTAATTAACACACCTCATCATCTTCCAATCAGAACCGCAATGAAGATTCGACGCAGGTCACTGTTCTCTCCGTTTCTCATGGCGCTCGTCAGATTAAAAAAATAATCTTGTTCGATTTATTTCTTTAGATGTGTACCACAATACCATAACAATTTTTGTGATACCCTCTTCTGTCGATATCCTAAAGACGTTGCTTATTTTGCTTAATGGTTAATACAGCCCTGATGTTAAGCACTTCATAAGGAGTATGTTTCAAAGTTAATTTCTTGCGTAACATTTCATGAAAGGAAACTTAAACGAATTTTAAATGAGAATAACTATTTTCTGACAAAGTCAAATTTGATAGAAACGACTAAACACACTGTCAACGTCTTGCGAGATTTAAAGCTTATGAGTAGGTTTTCAAAATAAAATTTAATACAAGCTTTCATTTTGAGAGCTGCTGACGAGAATCGAACTTATTCACAGACATTCTCAAGGACAAACCGCCATTGATTTTACGACCCTGAAAGGCTTCAAATGTCAAATTACTATAAATATTGCTTTCCGAAATTATCTCTCTAAAGTACCATTTATTTAAAAGCGTTGAGCAGCAGTAAAAAAAGAATGGCGAAATTTCTATCAGTCCTTCATCTAGAGAGACAATTGTCAATAAATTTTGCTATTATTTTTACTTTTTATTTTCATGTCAAACAAGGAAAGAATATTTAAACTTTGCTCCACAAAAGCGTAGCGCCCACCAGAACATTAAAAAATTCTCTTTGAAAACGAATACGCTGTTGGA